GCTTGTAAAACGTAATAAAATTAAAGTAATGGTGCAAAGAGTTGACTGGTTGCCCAGAAAGCGATGTAAAATAGTATTATTAAGTGAACAAGGCTACAGTTATAAAGAAATTAGAAGAAAAATGGGTGGAAACTTAACCAAAGGTGGCATTTCTACTGTACACTTTTCCCAAAAGGTTTCCACAATTTTGGCCACTACTATATTGACAGCGAACATCAGAATTTCATTTTTTTAAAATGTGTGCCAGTGTGTTCACAGAAAAAAAAGCTACCATAAAGGTTATCTTATTAATGTGGTAAAATAAGGTAGAATAATGAACAATTGCTGGAATAATGATTTGTCTGCATAATTGCTAGAATAATGATGCAATGCATCATCACTGGGAAAGTTCTGTGTCAGTAATATGTGACTAACCAAACGCGCATTGCACATAGATACTTTGTATGTAGCAAAACCAACCATTGTATGCCCGTGAGAAACGATCCTAATGTATTACAAGGTGTATTACAAGGTGTAGTCCTTTGTTCCTAAGAAAAGGAAAGTATAAAACTGAAGTCTAATCCCGCCCTCCTTGTTCAGAATTGCCTGTCTCCATATGCCTCTGAACCTGCGCAAATAAACCTTTCTGCTAACCCCCTCTGGAATTCGTAAGAGCCCTTTCGTATTCCACAAGATTATCACGTTTTGCAAAAAACCCGAGAGTTTTATTGAACAAGACGCCCCTTGAGCCAAGAGACGGAGGGAAGGGAAATTCACTCGAAAACTCAGGAAAGACGAGTCTACGTGGAAGACTCTGGATCTGCAGCCAGATCGAAAGGGCAGGAGACGGACCCACCACCGTCCCCCATTCTCCGTGACCTCCACCGCCACCTTCCGACTAAAAGAGGACGCCGGCTGGCCTCCCCCGTTTTGCAGGCCTCGCCCATCACGAGACGGAGCGCGTGCAAATTGCACCCCCCCCCCTCCACACAAGCATACACGCGGAAGCCCGAAGTGGCACGCGCGGCGTCTCCGCTCACCTTGATCAGCGGGGAAACCTCCACCGGGGGAATCATCTTCTCCTCCCGGCCGAAGGCAAAAACGGATGTGACGCACCCAGCCGTTTAGAACGCAGGCGCGTTCTTTGACGTTAGCAGCGTCGACGATCCAAAACGAGAAAGGTAGAGATAGAAAATGGAAGATCACACTGGAAAGGGATTTTTTTTTTTTTTA